AGTATCAATTCACTGAATGCCTACTGTAGACAAGACAAATATAAGACAAATAAGACAGAGAAGAAAGTCCTTGCCAAGAAAGAATAGAGATGGAGAATTTAGTACTGTACTTGAGTGCACTGCTGTAATTCACGCTCTTCCTTCTATAACTGTTTTTCCACAAGAAAGGACAGAAAGAAAAGTTGGAGTCGTCATCCTTAAGTCCGTGACAACTCCTGCACCGAAGTCGCTATACCTCACGCGTACGTGAGCCTGGTTACGGGAGTCACGTCGCGCACTTGATGGCCAATGCACCGTCAAGTCTGAAATATATATAAAGCATCTTCCGGCTTATCTCAATTGAGCAAAGTCAGATTGCCAGCCAGATGACCCTATTGCTTGGTCAGTAGAGTAGTAGTGTGCGTCGTTGGGCTTTATAAAAGTTAGCACTGGCTTATTGTCTCACTCACTCACTCACTCACTCACTCACACACCTTGTGCATCAGTGAATATTACGCCTTTTACCTGGTGGTTCTTCATATCAGTAGTTAAGCAGTGCTTCACACTTGGATATACTGTATCCACATTATAATGTGGGCTCCATGATGAAATCCCATAGGAGAAAAAATCCTGCAGCTTGAAAATCCCGTGAGGCCAAAAATCCCGTTGGCCAGAAAATCTCGCATGGTCCAAAAATCTGCAAGTCAAATTTCAAGGGACCAAAAAAAATCCAACTTGGGGAGGATTACAGTCCAGGAAACAGGCATTTTTGTGGGAAAGGTCAAAGAATTTAAAGAAATTTTTCATGGTGATATTCTGGGCCTTAAATTGTACAGTATCTTAGATGAGTTGACAGGATGCCAAACTTGCTGGAAACACAAATTGAGAACATTTGGTGTACAGAAATTCAGTAACTCATGGAAATTGAAAACCATTCAAACTCTCACCCCAAAAGCCAAACCCCTCCCTAACTCATATTATAGTGAATCCCTGGCCAATCCCTATACAGGACTATAGTGTTTTAAAAATAAAATTAAAAAATGAGATTTTATCCCTAATGGAAAGAGTTATCTTAGAGTGGAAGTGAAGGAATAGAAAGAATTCTCTTTCCACTCCTTCGGACCCTTTCTACATCGGAAGTAAACCTCGGACGTAACAAAAGTATATAAACTGTGTACTTTTCCCATGATTTTCATAGCTCAACCTTCCCTTCTGAAGTAATGAACTTGCATCAATTTGGGTGGAAATCTTGTGGATTTGAAAATTTGTGGACTAAAATTTCTAAAAAATATTATAAAGGATTTAGTACATGACATACAACTTCTAATTCTAACTTTTATTTTATAATGATATATTGACATAAATCTGAACCTATTAAAACTTAACAAATTTAAGGTGACGGTTCTGTAGTTTTCAAACAAGGATTTTCTGATATGAAAATTCACTTTTTGGGATTTTTGTACCAACGGGATTTTTGGACCTTGCAAGATTTTTGGGAATACAAGATTTTTGGCCACATGGGATTTTCAGGCCGCGGGATTTTTTCTCCCACGGGATTTTCTCCAGCACCCATAATGACACACCAGTGGAGCAAATGGTGTACATTTTGGCTATACATAAAATATACTGTATGTAATCGCACCTATGAAACCCTGCTGATGTGGACCTGAAGTGCGCCGATGTTTTTTTCTCTTTCTTTCATACTGTATACACATGTGTGTATACCAAATAATATTCACCGGTGGTGTGTTTGCATAGGGCATCCATTATTAGTGCACACTTTGCTGGCTACAGCACATGTAATCACATAATAAACCCTGCTGTGCACCTGAAGTGCACCAATAATTTTTGTTTTGTTTACACATGTGTGTAACAAAAGTGCACCTGGCTCTGCTGTCTTTACAAATGGTATCTGTTGGTGCACACTTTGGCTACACATGTAAATCCTTCAGTGCACTTTAAGTCCTGCACTTTAAGTGCACTAAAGGTTTTATCTCTATGTGATGTGTTTATACAGGGTATTCATTTATTGGTGCACAATTGGGCTATGCATGTAATCACACAGGAACCCCAGCTGGGCATCTGAAGTTCAAACAAGTTTTTTCCTCTTTTACACACATGTGTATAACAGTAAATGTTTATTAGTATTTAGTGTGTTTACACACCCAAGTGGGGGAAATGGTGCACACTTGGGATATGCGCAGTGACCCTGCTGTGCACCTGAAGTGTACCAAAGTCCTTCTTTGGCACATGCATATCCCCAATGTGCACCAACTGTGTGTTCACACCAGGATTACTCAGGGTCACATTTGTAACAAAAAAGTTACACCAAGGTTACAGTTGGTGCATTTGTGTGACACTCCTGTTATGTCACATTTGTGCACCAAATGCAGCCCTGGAATGGTAGCAAAATTTCATCTACAGAGGTGCATGCTTGTAACCCTTGAATAGCCCATGTACACCAGTTTTGACCCCAGTGGGCACCAGTTGTGGGGTCACACAAAGAATATAGCTTCCCTCGGGCAGGTGGGTATTGATTGGTGCACACGTACTTTGGCTACACAAGTAAAATGCACGCAGGTAACCCTGCTGATATTCACCCAAAGTGTGCCAACATTTTCTTTACAAATATGTATGCAACCCAAATTTGCAATAGTATGATGTGTTTACATCATAGAGGGTATCCATAGCCCATGCAGCAGATGTACACCAAAGACAGTCTACCTTTGGTAACCCTGTGCACCAAATGTAACCCTGGAATGGTTTCAAAATTGCATCTACACCAGAGCACAGTATTGTAACCCCTGAATCTCTCAGGTGCACCAAGTATTGTGACCCAGTTTGCACTTTTGTGATTACAGGAAGAAAAGCTTCCCAGCACATCATATCTGGGACAGGACAGTGAAACATGGCACGTCCAATTCAGATAAACTTCCTGAATGGATTGTTGTCAGCAGTGGCGGCGATACTATTTTACTTACCAGTCGCGATAATCGCAGC